TTTTTTTTTCATGACTATTCATTGGGCACCCGTAACTTTACCTTCCGCTTTACACTTTTTCTTTGGAACATTAGAGCTCAGCTCCAGTGTTTCAGTAGAAGGATATCTTCTGGAATGGGTTATCCTATTTATCAGAATTTTATAGCATAAGGAGAAAATAATTTCTGCCAATTAAAGTATTCATCAAAAGTTGGAACTAACCATCTGAGACTAGCTGGAAATTTTAGGTAGTTGTTTGATAAATTACTTTTCTCATACAGTTGCATGCCTTTATGCTTTTGCTTGCTTATTTCTCCCAGATTACTCCAATCTTGAATGAAATTTTTCAGTGTAAACGGTGTGGAGGGCACGTGTTGTCCACTATGCGGCACTTTGAACCAATGGAACATTCAGGTTTGTATGACAGTTTCAAGTTTGTTATTTAATAAGCAGGATTTGTTATAATGAGGTTTTGTGTGATTAATGTTTTTCTTTAATTGCCCCAATAGCGATCTGAGGTGGGGGTGGTAGACATGAAAGGTTGTTTTTATGCTGGATACCCGACAATTAGTGAAGGATGCAGACGTGCCTCGCGCATATCTAGCGTACTATTTTTGTTCGGTTTAATGTCTGGCGGTTTAATCAATGAGGAGCTCGGCTTGGCTTAGCTCTGCCGGCTCTTGATGAAATGTCCATTTATAAAGTGCGTACATCCCTCACAACAATCCTTATCCATGATCCCATTTCCATACCATTCCAAAAATAGATACGCCTTTCGTTGGAGATAGCAGCGCGATGACTTAGTGAGAATTTTCGCCCAGCGACGTGCGGTGCATGCGACCTCCGTTTCTCATCGCAAGAGTTCAATGGGTGATTGGAGCGCACAATGCATGAGTCAGCTTTCTTTCAATATCTGCAGCGAGTCGGTGTTCATGGTCATTGCAGTCTAATGTCTCCATCCGCTGTCGAAGTTCTGCCGCGTTCGATGGAATTTTGATGCGAATTCCACCACCCTTCGAAGTGTATCATGAAAATAGCTGCTTGAATAAGCTTCCATTCCGTGTGTCAGTAATGAAACTGTTTCCAGATGCCTGGCACTTCATACACGATGAGCCATATCGCGGTTCACGGGTTACGCCGCTATCATATGTGCCGAGATTGCTTCGTTTGTTTCAAGGGTGATTATGACGTAAGTCTTGAAATAACTTCGTGCTTCTCGTTTTCGTCTTGTGGTTAGCACAGACCTATTAATGTTCAAAAAAAAACCAGCTGCCCAAACCACATTTTTTCAGTGTGTTCGTATGAAAACGCATTTTGAAACGACGCATTGTACTCCAATTCCAAAGACGAATAATCGCGAGTTATTATGCAAGCTGTGTAGGGAGGTGATCTTGAAGTCACACCTTGCTGAGCACGTCATTGAAAAGCATTTGGTATGCAAGTTTTTTTCCTTTTTTGATTGATATCTACTTTTTGATTGTCTTTTCCTGTTTGTGCTACCACTTTTGAAAAATGGAACTTTTGTTTTGTTTTTTTTTCTCTGACTGCCAAACCTACCAATTTTCTTGCTCTGCTTTCTCAAGAACTACTCCTTGGAAAAGTAGTCGTTGGCTGATCATCAAATGGCAGTCAGTGACTTCTCTGAGTCATAATTTTCTGACTTTGTACTTAAAGCATAAGTTATTCCCTCGGAAGATAATGGAAACCTGTTGATCTCTCTGGTGAACATCATATTCTCTCATAATTTCTATTGCACGACTAGTTTAGAAGAATTGATCAATGCATTGCACATCGCATTCTTCTTTGTGTATAAATCATGCACCCTTGGTCCGCTCGACCGGGTTCCGGACGAATTCGTTCGTAACGGACTGGGTTGTCAACAAGCCTAGGCACTTCTCTCTCTCTGCGTTCTGAACTGAGGCCCAGGATCTTGTGGGGGGCCACCATTTGCTTGACAAGGGAGCACAACCTGATCGTTCTCACGATAAAATGCCCTAGCTCTTCTTTTTTCCCACTGTCTCAACGTGATAGTCTTTGTGCTTATTTCAACAATGTTCTAGTTCTAATCTTTTAATCTTTTGCTGTGATGCATTTCTCTTATTCCTTGCTTATTGGCAATATGAGATCCTGATTTTTAATTTCTAACCTCTTTTTGTTTGATTAGTGGGCACCCCTTGTGCTGTATTTGAATAAATTTCAGGTGACCGGTTTCAAATCGAGGGATCCTAAGAATCAAGGAAAACTGATTGTGAAGACGGGTGCGGTGACTCGGCGATTCCTTGGATTCGAGCGGATCTATCATGTCGGCGACGATTCTGATATGGACTGATGCCGTGTTTATTCGTTCTGATATTATTTTGGACAATCGATTATTGCAGTGTTAGGTGCTGTGTTATCCTTTCGTTGCACTGTCAAAGCGGGACACCAGGAATTGCTCCTCTGAGCCGATGAATCTGCACGTTTAGTTTGTTTCTTGGAATTCTATCGTAGAACTGCGTCTACACTCGCAACATTAATAATACAATGCCTATGCACATTTTTATGTGTATATTAGCACGGGAATTATTGAGACAAGCGAGTACGAGTTAGTACCTGAGCGTTGCAGCTGGCGCCAGCTGCATGTTCGTTGAGTGTAAACGCAGTTGCAGATGATCATCAGCCGCAATAGTGTTAGTTCGTTCATTCATTACATTAGTGCATTACCTTTTTAGGAAACGGTGATTTTTTTATGTTCACAGTGTTTTTTTTTTCTTAAAACGGTCTATGTTTGAGCAGAAATTTGTAGACCATTTATATAGTTGAGGCAGTTGTTATGCGGATGACATCATCGTTGATAATCTCTTTTTATTTGTGTGTACATTTTATTCTTTTATGCAAGTAATCACAGCCATTTGTATAATAACATTGACGGGTGTTGAATCAATGTTTACTATCTTATTGTTTGTAATGCTGACAGAAATGAATTTTTTAGACAGAATTAACCCATTGACGACCGCGTGGCCCGTATACGGGCCACAGTTTTATTTTCCATGTATAACATTCATTTTCGATTTTTTCGACCCTCTCACGTATCGAGCACGTTTATGGCCTATTATGGAATCTTGACGCGCAGCGGTCTGTGAAACGTTTACTTCTGACTTTAGTAATAACAGAAAAGAAAGTTACTTCTGAGGGCATTGGTAAAGGAGCAAAACCATAGGTGACCAAATTTATGTGAAAAGGATGTAATGGGACTTCGCTGAGCTATTCGATGATTCGAAACATGTCATTCTCATCTTGTCTGCTTCCTCGTGTCTAGACAGAGTCTCATTTGGAAATGATTTGGTAAAAACTCTCGCTCCCTTTGAACAATCAACATTAGATGCCATAACGTAGCTCTAAATAGTGTGTATGACTTATAACCTTTACATGCCACATTTAAAAAACTTTTTTGTCGGCTCGAAAGGCTTACGAAAGACTTTACTTGTTCCTAATACCGTGTTGCTCGCCAGCGGGCCACAGCAGCAGCCCGCTAAAAGCGCGCTCGGTCCCACACGCCAGACACGCTAAAAAGGCGCGGTCGCCAATGGGTTAAGGAGCAGCTATCTCAGGGGCATTTTTGAGTAGGCCGAGAAGGCGACGTTCATAGTTGGCAGTTACAGCGGCTGTCGCCGTGACCCACTCCATTTCGGGAGAGATGGTGCATGGAACTCTGATGTCGTCTTGGGTTGACTCGCCCTTCAGCCGGCTCTTGGCCGACGGGGTGGCCAAGGGCTCTGTGAACTTTGATTTCGATCGAGCGCCATGTGAAGCATTTCATCGGAGTCAATA